CTTTCTTTCTTTCTTTCTTTCTTTCTTTCTTTCTTTCTTTCTTTCTTCATAGACAAGTATCTCTAAAACAGGTCAATGGTCAGGCATTCTTATCTTCCTTAACATTACAGGAAGCTTCGGATGCTTTTCCAGTACACACAAGGCTAACTCCTGGTGCTGAAGCAGGATAGGGGTCTGGGTAGGGGTGTCATGGAGTGGCTGTAGATAAGATCCGTGGTAGTGCTAGGAGCAGCAGTGCTGAGGAGCAGAGCCTCTGCCTCTGTCTGACGCTGGGGCTGGAGGTTTTGCTACCAGACTCTGCTCACACTGGGAAAGGTGCCGCTTTCCTCTGGGTAGGCAGGAGATGCAGACTCTCTGACTCCCATCCAAACTCCTCCTCCTCCCACCGTGGCCAGCTCCTGAGAACTCCTTTCTCTGATGCTTGGTGCTTCCCCCTGAATATCCTGCCATCTGCTTGGGCCTCGGAATAATCCTGTGTGTGAAGTAGCTCTCAGCAAGTCCCCGTCCATCACAGCAGGGCTGGAACCAAGTCTGGAATTTGGCCTAAGCCTTCTGTGAGACCGCGGGCTAATTCCATGAGGAAGCAGTGTAGGACAGGGCGGAGGTTGGGACTCCAGGGTGCTATAGGAGCCTGTGAAAACCCCATAGCCACATTTCCTCGAGGTCTGGCATCTGGGGTCTGGGAGCCTTCCTTAGAAGCCCACAGGTTTCTATAATCTGCTCACACAGGGTTTCCCACAAGCAGGGGCCTGGTTGTAGTTGCTGGCTGCCAGAGGGAGTGGGAACAGTGAATCTCTGAAGCTTAGCTTGAGGTTTCATTCCTCAGCCTTCAGAAGCACACCTGGGTGTAGCATCCGTGAGTCTGTGCTGCCTGTCCTGTTGTGCAGGCCACGGGACTCCCAGCCACAGCTAGTTTGACACACAAGGAGAGTAGGGACCACAGTCATCCTAGGACTCTGGAAGGCATCTTAGGAACTCCAGAGAGTCTTCTAAGGCAGACCTTAGGGGAGAGACTCAGGCAGGAACTGCTCACAAGGCACCCTGATGCTGGGATCTGGTCATTCTTTGCTGTGAGGTCATCTAGGCCTGCACCTTTTAGGAGCATCCCATATATACCCTGCAGACTGGTGTGGGGTTTGCTATCCTAGGGCATCCTCCTTGTGTGGGGTTTGCTATCCTAGGGCATCCTCCTTGTACGCCCCTTTCCACAGAGGAGAGCTTTGGCCCTCTGAGGATGTGAGGTGAGCCCATGCAGGCAGCTGGGCCCTGCTCCTCACCCCCACGCTAGCACCTCCTCTAAGGGAGATGAGGCAGCCAGACTTAGAACCGCATGGTTCTTAGTTAAGAGCACTGCCTGCTCTTCCAAAGGTCCTGAGTTCAGTTCCCAGCAACCATATGGTGGCTCACAACCATCTGTAATGAGGTCTGGTGCCCTCTTCTGGCCTGCAGGCATACACATAGACAGAATATTGTATACATAATAAATAATAAATATTTTTAAAAAAAGAAGAAGAAAAGTGGGGTAGACGCAGGTGGAGGGAAAGGTAACTCTGGGCAAACTCCTTGCAGAGAACAAGGGGAGAGGGATGAGACCTTGTTAGGCCTGGCCTTCCAGATAAGACATTCTTGCCAGCCAAGGTCAGGGCCTCCCAGTTAGGAATGGGGTTCCCCGGCCAGGGGCAGGGCCTTCCAATTGGTTGGGATCTTTTCCTGAGGACTCTAAGCTGTCTCTGTATCACTAGGCTTGTTCTTGAGATTCAGTCTCTGGGGACCTAATCAGCCCACAGAAGCCAGAATGTGGCCTGTGAGGGAAGCAAACCCCATTGAGGGATCACAGGAGCCCTCTGTCCTGCTTCCAGGCCCATGGACTTTGTGGGGAGGGTCCAGGCCAGGGAACTACCGCAGGGCTTGGCCTCCAGGTAGAGTCAGTCGCAGAGGTACGGCCGAGAATGTATCTTTGGAAGCAGAAGTCAGGATGGCAGCTGAAACAGAGCCCAAGAAGGTTACTGTAGGGTGGGCTTCTGGTGGGAAACCACCTGTTGGCTGTACTACTGTTTAAGGCCTTTGTCACGCTAGGCTCACAGACACCCTGGGCCTGGAGTCTCCATCAGCCTCATAGGCTCTTAGAAAAAGGGCGGGACCAGAAACTTGTTGATGAGGTCTTGTCCTTATGAGTCAAGGTTAGGGACACAGGAACCCTGTTCTGTCACTCCATACACATGTACAGGAAGCTGGGCCTTGTCCGAAGCCAGGGAAGCTGTCACATCTCCACTGAGCCTGGAGACCCAGAACCTCAGGCAGATCCAAACTTGTGCAGATGCAGCCTGCTGGTTCAAGCCAGCGGTGGTGACCCCAGAGGGCCCTGTTCAGAGTGCGGGCTCCGCCTTCTCCACCATGAGTCAGCAGGAGGTGGGCTGGTGACCTAGTCGAAGCCGCTGCCTTATTTATTTGTGTTTTTTGGATGAGC